GAGAGGTGAACAGAAGATCTGGGAGACCCACAAGATGCACTGTCTGTTAACAAACAATCGTTCAAACAGAGATTTGACTACGAATGTCACATGGAAAAACGAAGCTAATTTGAAGTATAGGCAATTTCAACTGTTTTTGTCCATAATAAAAGTGAAAGTTGACTTTCATTGTATGGACACAATTATTACGGTAACACTTTACTTGAAGGGGTGTGCATAAGACTAACATGACACCTTCATAATCATGACATGACATATGTTATGAATATGAAGGAAGTTGTATGCATGTTTGTGACAACTGTCATTAAGTGTCATTCGCTCAATTATGACATTTTGAATGCAAATCTGACATTGTTTGAGATGTCTTTGTTATGACACCTTGACATAAACCAATACATCATAACCTGTCAGTGTCTTTGTCATGACAACTTGACATTACTAAGACAACACAACCTGTCATAAACATGACATAGCAGATTAATGATCAAACTTAAGAAGCTTTATTAGTTAACATTACATTAAACTGTCAGGTGGTTGGTGTTGACATTGGCTGTCATGAAGCCATTATAACTGTTTAATGGCAAATTCAATTTGAGGTCACGAAAAATATTCATGACACAGTTATAATGGCCTTATGACAGCCAATGTCAAAACCAACCACATGACAGTTTAACTTAATTTAATGTCAAGTTCTCATGACAAAGACACTGACAGGTTATGATGTTATGGTTTATGTCAAGGTGTCATAACAAAGACATCTCAAACAATGTCATATTTGCATTCAAAATGTCATTATTGAGCGAAAGACACTTTGACAGTTGTCATAAACATGCATAAACCCTACTTCATATTCATGACATATGTCATGTCATGGTTATGAAGGTGTCATGTCAGTCTTATGTACACCCCTTCAAGTAAAGTGTTACCATTATTACTTTTTAAAAAAATATATTTTGTTCCGTAGAACAATGAAATGCATTTCGGTTCGGAAGGACATGAAGGCGAGTGAATAACAGAATTACAATTTTTGCACAAACAGCTCCTTTAAGAGTAAATTCACTGCTCGAAATATCTATGCACTAAACTTATGCAAGCAAATCGTGAGATGTGAAAGCATTGACCAATCGATGGCCTTTTTAACAATCAGAAGTGGCACAGCAGAGGTACCATATCCAATTCCGTCTCCATACCGCCTTCTATAGAGTTTCGTAGCTGTAAGCTGTCATTCAAAGGTGGCATCTGGGGATGAAATTACCTTATGTGGGTTGTCATGAAAAGAAAGGAGCCTTACATTTTCCGTCCTTTAAATTAAAACCTATTAATGGAAGCACTGCTGATAACACAAAGGATTTCAAATGAATATCCATCGAACAGACTGAGGTTAGCAGGCAGAGATCATAACGCTATACTGCAGCCCTGCATTATACATTTGATAAGCGTCTGTCAAGAACGGTCATACAGAAAATGCGTTTCGGGGTGTGGCACACGGTTCCTGGAAGGCGATATTGATCTTCTTACAAGGTTTTTGATACTATGCTTAACCAGAGAGCAGCTTCTCCAAGTTCATTAATCATTCAGTGATGCTTGTTTTGTTTACAATCCAAATCTAGCACATTTTTTGTGAGAGGCTTTTCAATTTAGATGCCTTAAAGATAATAGTGCCTCACTGCCAACGTGCGACTGCTTAAGTGCTTTAAATTACAATGCATAATGTATCTCGAAACAGATCTTACATGGTTTTTGGACTGGATTTCAACATCGCTCACCACTGCGCTATTGAAATATCAAATAAATGTAAATCTGCCGGTTTGTTTAACAGCAAATTATTGATGTTGAGATTATTACACAATACTTCACCATGATAGTGTTTGGCAATGTATAATCAATAAAAGCTTTATAAATGATCCAATTCTAAAGAAATATGGTGACTTTCACTACGTTTTTGTTATAGATGCCAGAAAAACAATGACAAAGCCCCATCCACAAAGAAACTCCACTGGACCACAATAACAGTGAAGATATGCCTTGAGGTGTTCTGTTAACACCAATTCCACATTGAAATATGTGAAAAACTAACGATATTTAAGTGTAATCTGCCCAAGCTAAATTTGGCCCAGTGGGCCCTGTAGCCCAGAGAAGTCGTCAGACATGTTATTAGGGGTTTTGTTTGATCAAGCATAATTTCCAGGACTCTTTAGGGAGCAATAAATAAACTGATAATGGAGCTTGATGCAAAAACGGTAAGGGCTTTGTAACTGGGCAAACCGAGAATGATGACTAACCGGAGGGTACGAGCACGGCAGCTTTACAAGGCGCTCTCAGAGTAAAGCCACTCGGCAGGACGACGAGCCGCTCTCAGAGTGAGGATCATCTGCCGAGTTCATTAAATCTGCCTGCAGGACAAAGTCATCTGTGCTCGTCAACAACATTCAGCTCACAAGAAGCGATAGGTGTTCAGCGACCAAAGGAATTCAGGGCAGTATGTGCTTGAAAACCACCAGAAAACACGTGTGGAGATATATAAATAGCTACGGGTGAGTGTAAACATGCACTTTACGATATCACACACGATGCAATCACAGTTTTTGAGGCTTAACACTCTAGGACCCTTGATGTGCGTAAGAAACCCACAGGCAGATTTGACTCAAGAACACATGCTGACTCTGTCTACAGTTGCATTGATTTGTGTTTATAAAAAAAAAAACATTGCCATTAGCAAAACAGGGATTTGTAAGATCGTCTGAACTAGGGATATCAAAAATGCCAGTACTTCTGTACCAAGTCGATATGAGAAAAAAAATTGTGATACTGGTATTTATTCAGTATCAAGAATACAGACTCAATTTAGTACCAATGAATAAATGTTGGTATTGTGACAGCCCTGGTCTGAACTAATTTGTGACAGTGTCTATGATAAAGAATTTTTTTTAAAAAAAATCTAAACTTTCATATGGTTTTGGGGAAAAGAAATATATTTTGTTTGTATACACATCTTAATCATTATTTAAAAAATGTTTTTAAATACATTTACCGTTGTAAAAAGTTATTGTTGTAATCATTTTTAAATATCATTACATCACAAGTCACACTATATGACATTTTAAACTAGCCTTGCATTGTAATTAAAAAGGAAAATTTATCAAATAGACTTACCAACCTTGACACATAATCATGAGGGCCTGCAGTCAAGCCCCCCATAAAAATGAATTTTAATAAAGAAATTGAAAACATTCTCGTCATAGAAGAGGTGTATTCAAGTCACCATATGTATGAAATTATTTTTAATTCCTTTTCTGAATAATCAATAATCAAAATCAATTGATAGGAACAAAAAATGAGTGGCATGTCCTTGACTCAAATGCCACTGTAGGAGGTTTTCGGTACTCTTAAGGTAATCATTTGTAATTGTTGTCTATTTATAAATTATCTAGTTTCCTCATAATGTGGCATCATGTTCTATCCTTTTCACCAGGTTACTGATTAAAACTTACTTGCTAATTAGAATGTACTAATTGCCTGTACTTGTGACAGACTTGCTGTTTTGCCATCCATGCCTGACTAAAAATAGCACGCGCTTTCTCCCTTTCTCCGCACACAGGCTGATGCCGGAGACATCTCACGACACAGCGGGCAAACTACACAGCAACTCTAGGCGAAGCCACAGATGCCCCAGTGACCCACCCCATCAAACCCCTGACCGAAGCGCACGGAGCATCTCCAGTCTCTGAACAGCAGGGGTTGATGGGAATAATGCAAAGCTTTTAACATAAGCCTACAGTTATGGACTAAGCAAGAAGGGTATATAGTAAGACTCATTCAACAAAAAAATTCATAGCAACAACCAAAAAGTAAGTAAATAAAAAAGATTATTAATTACAAAAAAAAAAAATAGCCAAACTATTGCTCCTATTTTTCAGTAGCACGACCAAAGCTCAGTGTAGCTTTTCCAGTAACAAGCCAATTTTTCCAAGAATGAAAGGTACAGTGCAAGATTCTCACTGTTTTTGTTTTTAAGAAAGCTCATCGTTTTCTTGTGGTGTTTTTAGTAACTACGTGTAATTACACACGCTTTCAAAAGGGCGGCTACTTTAAATCACGAGTAGCTTACAGCTTAGCAAGCTACAGTACTACATTTGCTTCTCTTCCCACAATGCCAACATCTAGACATCCAAACGTGTGCACTAGAGAGTGATGACAAATGTCAGCCCGCAGGAAGTATTTAAATGTAAGACTGTGTAATTATCACTTGAAAATAGATGTATAAAAACACTAAAACATCAAGATCCTTTGACTGAAGGCATCTTTGATGTGATAATATATGCATACACACACACATAAAGGTTGTGACTTCTTACACTACAATCTCAGCTCTTTTCAGTAGAGAGTTGAGTAGAGTATTTAAGCACATACCGCCTAATACAAAAAGACTTTACTACCAAAACACTACTCTGGCCCTGAATGCATTGACTATTCACAATGAATTGCTCCTCTGAAAGATGCTTCAACACCTTAGTGGGACATTAAATGGTGGATGTTAGCGAAAAATACAATAAAGACCACAAGATCACAAAAGTGCAGGTATCCAAGTGTTTGTTGTAGGCCACATCTGTGCAAGGCGCCACCCGTCACGCTGGCAAACAACAGAAACCCACGGCAGGGAAAAGGGGAAGCATTTAAATAAATAAAATAAAATATCATTGGTTGCCGCGGGCTTGGTGGCACAGTTAAAGATTAATGCTATTCTTCTTCAAATATTGCTCAGAGGGACAACATGAGTCACTTTCTCAACAGCAAAGCATTCATGAAAGCAAAAGGCAGGGGAGACCCTAAGGCGAGGCCTCTGGGGTGAGGTGGACAGCTCTGGATGAAAGACCAGCTGTCTATCAGAGGACGTTTATGTGTTTTAGTGGTAGCAGAACACAATGACTGTCACAAAAGAGAAATTGAAATGTTACTCTTTCAGAAATGTCTCTATGTATGAGGGAGTGTAGTTTGCTCACCTGAGTAGGCCCAGTAGGACTCTTCGGCCGCTCTGCGGTGCCTGTCACCAATCGGCCAGTCATGATGCTCAGCTTTCTCCCACTCAGCCATTGCTGTAACAGAAAAATAATGAGAAAGTGTTTAGAGAAGTGCTGTGATGATGTGAGCTGTTTGGCTTTGAATCTGTTGGCTGATTAATAGAAGTCTTAACTTTCTGTCAGTTCCAAAATCTCCCAAGAGAATTTCAGTTCTTTTATCTTTAACCATGTGTGCTAAATATTGCGTAAATCTTTTTTTATTTCAGTGTATATCTGTATCCCAATAATAATTAAATTGTATTACCCTACACCCCACTGTCTAGTTAACTGTATTGAAATCAGTCATTTGAAAATCCATATCGGTTGACTATAAGAGCCCTAGTGAGTACACAAGCATACACAAATCATGAGGGTCAAACTACAGTTTAAAACCTGAGGCACACAAACAAATCACAAGACTCAACCTCATACACTCACACACACACAAAAGCAGTAACACACCAGCCTGCGATCTCTGGCTGAACCAAGTCATTAAATCCTGTATAAACCAATCTGGCTCAAAAAACTCTACTCCATTAGAGAGAAAAACAGCCCCCCCACACAGCGGTATTTACAGCCTGTCTGCTCTGGGATCAGTTTTCCCTCCCTCATTAAACATGTATGAGGGGCTAAATAAATAAACAAGGCCTGATTGGCCGGTGAGTGGAAGGCTAAAGCGCTAAGTACAGAGGCAAAGAGGCTGCGGACAAGGCGCTGGCAGCCAGAGACGGTGAGCTGTTCCCCCGCTCCGTCAGAGACACCAAGGCAGCTGTGTCCCACAGGTAGGCCGAACTAATCTAGACTCAACCCAACAGGAGTTCTAGACCCCTTCGCCTACTTGCTCAGGGCTCTAAGGCTCATATTGGCTGTGAAATTACAACAGCAGAGGATTGGGGTGCTTACAGGATTCCAAACCTCTTGGTCGTCAAAGGATGCCAGAGATATGGCTGTGTTGAATGAGAATTTATTCTGACTTGGTACAGGGGCTGGAGGGGTTAGGAAGCATGGCACACATCCCAGCACCCTGCGGCCTCTGTGTGAGTTTATCAGAGGCGATCTCAACCCCTCGGCTCCTGGCTGTGGGATGTCGGGGATGCACTGGAAGGTGAAGAGACGACGTGAGATCAGCCTCACAGCTGTCGTCCACATCCAAACTCTCAAACTCACTATGGCAGGACTTGGGGCTGACTGCCATTTTAAATCTAGACTGACCCAAAAAAAAAAAAGAGTTGCTAGAAGAGAAGGAAGAGAATAGCTGAAGAAAGCACTAAAATGACTAAAATCAGAGCAAGATGTTAACGAGAAACGGGCCACGTTTTTTTTTTTTTTTTTTTTTGCAAGCCTGCCGATGTGCTGACCACACTACGGTAACAAGGACACACTGCCTAAAAGCCATCACTCAAAACATAATGTAATTTACAAGGCCCCTCTCCCTCTCCAAGCATGCTGGGTAAGTATATTCTGATATGAACAATGGGTGACTTTTTGTTTCAATGACAAACTGCCTTCTGCTCCTCGCTGCTCTAATTCTTCAGGATAGCGGCTCGGGCATGGCAGTGAATGCCAATGAGAGGGTATGCTATGGCTTCTCTATGAATTACATTATTGATTGCCGATATTCTTTGAACAGAAAATGTAATTATGCAATGCGGCATGCCAGGCTTAGTCGCTATCCTCCCGATATGTCACTCACGCTCTAGTCTCTTTCCCTCAATCATTCCCTCCCTCCCTCCCTTTGTCCCTGTCCATTCATCAATGAAGCTCTCTCCATCTCTCTAACACTCCAAAACTTACTTCCTGGGAGTAACTCTCTCGGAGAGACTCGGGATGCCCCTTTAGCTGCTCGGAGGAGACTACATCAGTGGCAGAGTCGACCTCTTCTAGAGACGTGCCTTCTTGGTTTATGTCTTTCAGAGATCTCTTCCAAGTGTGTCTACCTTGCCAGTTCTGGCTGTTTACTCACTTGGTTCAAGGAGAGCTTTCCCGTCAGCTCTTACATCATTGCACAAACACCGGTGACTACACATTGTTGTACCCTAGGGCCTCTTTCTCTACTCCAGATGTCTTCAAGAATGGAGCAAGAATTCTTTAAACAACCAAATAATTGGGCAAGAGCACCTTGTCCAATTGCGGCTCAAGACTTAAGCAAATAGAAGCACAGTGTTCCAATCTAACAGAGCCGCTATGGGAAAAGTTGTCAGGGCTCTTTGACACATAAGGGGCTACCTGGACACAGATAGCCTAGAGACATTCTAGGAAAGCAAAATGGAGAGTTTAAAGAATGGATTGAAAAAGATCATTCAAGTTGGACAAACATTACCCAATATCAAGAACTTTGGGTTAGGGTATCAAGTCTCTTCCACCGAACTGCTAAGTAACCAAAGAAGCTGTAATGTGTTTCAAATTATTTTCCCTTTAGCACAGGCCTGGCTCACCATTGGGCTGACTGGTTACTGCTCTTTTCACGGTTCTGTACTGATCCAGGCTCCTGATCGTAACTTGGTTACAGTTTCTTTTTCTATTGTGGTGCTGCAAAATCAGAATTAGATTGACATGAACAATCGTGAGTCACTACCGCAGTTTTAACAGCATTGCTCTCCTGTACTGTAATGATTAGCTAACTGTGCTGAGAAATACATTAAAGGATTAGTTCACTTTAAAAAAAACTTTTGCTGATAATTTGCTCACCCCCATGTCATCCAAGATGTCCATGTCTTTCTTTCTTCAGTCGAAAAGAAATTAAGGTTTTTGATGAAAACATTGCAGGATTTTTCTCCATATAATGCACTTATGTACTTAGGTCCAAAAGACAGTTTCAGTGCAAACTGCAAACTGTTCAAATGTCTTTAAACGACACCAGACGATGAATAATGGTCTTATCAAGCGAAACGATCGCTCATTTAAAAAAGAAATAACAAAGTTTAAGTTTTATAAGCTCAAATGCTTGCCTTGCTCTGTTCTGTGTGACTCTCCTGTTCGAACTCGTTCATCAAAATGAACGAATCTTTTTCTGAGTCAATTCGTTCATTTCGTTCGTTAAATGCATGCGTTAAATGAACCAAATGACTCGAAAAAAGATTTGTTCATTTTGATGAACGAGTTCGAACAGGAGAGTCACGAACGTGCATTACAGAACAGAGCAAGGCGAGCATTTGACATTATTAAACTTAAACTTTGTTATTTATTTTTGAAATGACCGATCGTTTCGCTTGATAAGACCATTATTCATCGTCTGGAATCTTTTAAAGCCCTTTGAACAGTTTGCACTGAAACTGTCTTTTGGACCTTGAACCGTTTGGTGCCCAGCAAAGTGCATTATATGGAGAAAAATCCTGGAATGTTTTCTTTAAAAACCTTAATTTCTTTTCGACCGAAGAAAGAAAGACATGGACATCTTGGATGACATGGGGGTGAGTAAATTATCAGCAAAAGTTTTTTTAAAAGTGAACTAATCCTTTAATGAGTGGTTTGTAATCACACTACACTGAAACTTACTCTAAAGGAAATGCTACCTGTTTTTCATTCATTCATTCAAAAAAGAATAAATATATAAAAATAAACGTGATTTTGGTCAAATTTTGCACCAATTTCATCCTGACAGTATGGCGTTTAAACACACACACACACACACACACACACACACACACGCGTGCAGAGATGAAGGTACTTACAAGAAAAGGAAAATGTCTAATGAAGTGCACACACTGACAAGTATGACAGAGCTAAGTCTCACCATTTTGATTGCTTTATTTCCTTGGTATATGGGGCAAGCTAAAAACAACGAGTTTGACACCCTCTGCCACTGTGTGGGGAACTGATACAGAGAAAAGGCCATCTCTTGCCCTTCTTTAAAAGCACGAGGGGAGAAACGAGGAAAGAGAAACTTACTAAGATTATCAAGAGATACCAAGAATGACCAACCACCCCTGGAACAACTCACAGCCAGATTACCACGTATTTCGACACACACACACACACACAGATCTACACACAGCATCCCCTATCCTCCAGACCCTGTCGAAATCAATCAGCATCAATTCAGCCCAATATGCACAAAGAACCTTTGTACGTATACGAACGCAACACACAATCAAGAGAATGCATGAGGACTGGGCAAACATCACACACACACACACCAAAAGAATGTCATATTGTTCAAAAACAAGCAACAAGCTTTCAGCACAATCTTTCAAAATCTAGAATCAACTGCGAGTCAATGCCAGTGTACTCTTGCCTTCTGTGATCAAATCTCCGGCGCCAGGGGTTCCATCTAGCCCGGCTCTTCTGAATGAATTCTGACGTAATTGATTTACATCCCTCTATTAGAGCTGCAGAGTTTTATGAGGAAGATATTGGGAGTTGACATTTTTGTCAGGCTGTCTCCACAGAAACAATGATAGAATGAGGAGAGTTATGAGGGCTTCATTTTCAGACAAGGATTCTGGAACTCTCAATGAGATAAGTCTCGGAGGAGCCATGCGATGTCTTCTAACTGCCACTCAGAGATGGCTTTTGTGGAGGATGTGCCAAATCATTGCTTATTGAAAGTATGTGTCAAAAAAAGTTTATTTTGAATGAAACCGAAGGAGGTCTCTATGCTAACTACAATCAACGCACAACAAAGATTTGTACAGATTATTATACCATATTGTCAAATTTGGAGAATGAAACGAAAGAGATTGTTACCATGGACTTGTTATTTGTAAATTCATTTAGGCTAGACAGTGTTAGCAGACTGAACGATCATAGTCACACACACAAATCCTTGGCAGATAATGAAAATGTTAATAAATTCCCAGCTTTGTAGCACATTTAACAGTTATAATGGAGATTTTGTTAGTAAAAGTCCATCATTCTCACATGCCATGCTAGCATTTAAGCTAATGCTGTCATTACCTGTGGAACACAGGCTTCTGACAAAAACTTCTGCTGACCCTGAAATCCTTTCAGTATTTTCAGAGATACACAAAAACAGCTGTGCTCTACCTGACTGGTAAGTTTATACAAGAAAAGAATCAGACAATTATTGGATGGGT